GGCATCACGCGGACCATCATGGCAGGGCATCACGCGGACATCACGGCAGGGATATCACGCGGACATCACGGCAGGGCATCACGCGGACATCATGGCAGGACATCACGCGGTTCATCATGGCAGGGCATCACGCGGACATCATGGCAGGGCATCACGCGGACATCACGGCAGGATATCACGCGGACATCATGGCAGGACATCACGCGGACATCATGGCAGGACATCACGCGGACATCATGGCAGGACATCACGCGGACATCATGGCAGGACATCACGCGGACATCATGGCAGGACATTCACGCGGACATCATGGCAGGACATCACGCGGTATCACGCGGTCATCATGGCAGGGCATCACGCGGACATCATGGCAGGGCATCACGCGGACATCACGGCAGGATATCACGCGGACATCACGGCAGGGCATCACGCGGACATCATGGCAGGGCATCACGCGGACATCACGGCAGGATATCACGCGGACATCACGGCAGGGCATCACGCGGACATCATGGCAGGACATCACGCGGTCATCATGGCAGGGCATCACGCGGACATCATGGCAGGGCATCACGCGGACATCACGGCAGGATATCACGCGGACATCATGGCAGGATATCACGCGGACATCATGGCAGGACATCACGCGGACATCATGGCAGGATATCACGCGGACATCATGGCAGGATATCACGCGGACATCATGGCAGGGCATCACGCGGACATCATGGCAGGACATCACGCGGACATCATGGCAGGACATCACGCGGTCATCATGGCAGGACATCACGCGGACATGGTGACATCGCTGCGGGCGGAGAGTATGGTGTCGTAGAAGCTGGACGTCAGGACATCACAGCAGGGGACAGTGCGACGCATCCCATCACACAGACATCCTGATATTCAGTGATGACAACATCATGTCGGTAAGTGATCTCACCAAGAAGGGAACGCTTCAGTCCACAAACGAACGTGTCCACCCCTATAAGCCATTGCAAACGACCTTTCTCCTATCCACGCAAACGGCAAAGAAGGCAGAGCCCAAACATACTGCAATGAACAGGCGACAGGCGCTGGATCGGTCGTCCACCGGACGCGAGCCGTCTGACACAGGGAACGGTAACTGCGCCACCCCTCGCTCTGTGTCTGCGCCATAGACCACCCGGCAGCCTTGTACGCCCGACAAGCCACCCAAACAACAGCGGTGAGGACAGCTGTCGGGGTCATTCCAGTTATTGCAATCCATTTGTCACGAGGAACCTGAATCCTGACGTCTCCTGCGGCGTCAGTTGTGACGCCAGGATGTGACGTCACATGTGGCGTCAGCTGTGACGTCAGCGTATGACGTCACCTGCTGCGCAAGCGTCATCATGCGACGCGTTGTGAAATCGCAGGATCAAGGCCGAAGAGCAAGGGTAGGGTGGATAATCACAATTGATATCTCCCCCACTTCGTGAGAGCAATGGAGCGCACGCGGGACCATGGTAGTGAGCAAAGTGCTTGTCCACTCTCTTTTCTGCCCTGAGATAGGATAGAGGATTCTGTGAGAAAGAATACGCCAATGGCGCACAGGTGTGTGCGTATGTGTCAACTCACCGGACAGGAGGAACTGCAGGCGACAGCTGTGATGACTCACCGGGACATGAGGACATGCAGGTGACGAAGGTGCCCGGCTCCCGGCGCGTGACGCCATCGGTCAGCTGGGTGGGGCACCAGGCCGTGCCGTTGGTGCCGTCCACGGTCGTACACTGGCCGTACTGGCGGCCCTTGTACGTGAACGGGAACACGCACTCCTGCCGTCCATCGCCGGCGCGGTAGCAGGCTGCGCGGCGAAGACGTGCGGCGGTCAGCGCACGCCGAGCAGGCGGGCGTCTCAGGGCCCGGCGAGGGCCGACTCGGCTCGCTGCCGGAGCGGACGGGGTCCAGGGCTCGGCAGGGTCTCAGCCGAGGACAGGAGCGGACGGGGTCCGGGGCTCGGCAGAGTCTCAGCTGAGGACAGGAGCGGACAGGGTCCGGGGCTCGGCAGAGTCTCAGCCGAGGACAGGAGCGGACGGGGTCCAGGGCTCGGCAGGGTCTCAGCCGAGGACAGGAGCGGACGGGGTCCGCGGCTTGGCAGAGCCTCAGCCAAGGACAGGAGCGGACGGGGTCCGGGGCTCGGCAGGGTCTCAGCTGGGGACAGGAGCGGACGGGGTCCAGGGCTCGGCAGGGTCTCAGCCGAGGACAGGAGCGGACGGGGTCCGGGGCTCGGCAGAGTCTCAGCTGAGGACAGGAGCGGACGGGGTCCGGGCTCGGCG